TGACAATGAGAATGACTCTGATTCATCTCACTGACACTTTGTCTCTGATGAATCATTTCTGACTAACCGAGTGCTAAACCGAATGCTAACCGACTAATTAAACAACTGAGAACTAATCACTGACCATGGATCTCTCCTTTTCGAAGATTTGTTCGAACAGAGGACATGTCAAGATGAATTAGGAAGTACGTTACCATTTTATGACACTCGACTACTCGCATAACGAGGTAGCAAGTATATATATATATATATACACGATACGATTTATAATAATTGAGATTCTAATCCTGAATAATTGTTATTTGTTGTAAAAATCTCTGGACTATATACGCGAGAGAAATCTCCAATTTGACAAGCCAATTCAGAAAGCACGCATCGTTGACCCTGAAACAGTATCGGAGTCTTGAAGATTTGAAATTAAGACTCCGAGGAAACGAAAAGGGAGGGAGAGCAGCGTTTAGAAAAGAAAAGATGCCCCAGGAACGAAATGAGTTGCCATTGGTTATCGGCCTATGTCAGTATCTTATCTACAAACTACCGAGACCGTTATTCAAGAGAGGATCAGTCGATTTCGGCCACTCGACGAGCGCGTTCCTCTCGTGGAGGAAAAAAAAAACCTTGAGAAAAATCGGAAAAAGTGGAGAGCAAATTTCGAGATGACGGACATGGTTCGTTCGCTTCGACCAGAGTCAAAAGTTCGTCCGATCTAGTCCGTGCATCGATCTGCGTCTATCACGCGATCTAGACAATCACGATGTGATTACAATGTCGCTATATATCGCCTTGATACATGGAATATTATTAGCCGGCGGGAATTATCTCGCGGGAAAGCAACGGGGCAATTGTGAGAATCACGAGACTTTCAGCGCTCTGCTTTGCTCTGAAGTGGAAAAGAGGTCGTAGGTCGGAGGCGATAAGGCGAACGCGATCGTTAACCACGGGCTTGCACGATCGAATAAGTAACTCGGGTGATCGGTCGAACGTGCAGTCGATTTTTGCCACGTGCCGATCATGAGGGACCTGAACCGGAAGAAGTCGAACGAAGAGCAGCGAGTCAACGGTTACGAGTGCGATCCGATCGCAGAAACGGACCTCGAATCTTCGACCTCGAAGGTTCACGTAATTATCGTCACGTCAGTCAGTTTGATGACAGCGACGATCGCTGTTTAATTTAATGTAAAGTTTTCGTCGAGCCGAAAGATTTCTCGAATCGACGGAAATCTTGCCTTTGAAACGCGAGTCGATTCTTGGCGCGTTCCCTCGCGAGATAGCCAGATCAGTCACACGGTGCACGGTTTCGATCGATTACGAACGATTCGGAGAGTGAAGGGAAATGTTTGCAACCGTGTCCGCTTCTGTGTCCGCAGAACAACGAGGAGCTGTCCGATCCGTACTGCGTCGAGGAGAGCCCCAACAAGATCACGTTCGAGGACATCACGTCCGCTGCGTTCAAGATCAAATGCGGGATCATCAACACCCCTTGCGTGGTACGATTCGAAATTTCAAATTCTATCGATCCTCTATAATTCGCGTGTGTAAATTTGCTTGTTTTATAAATCTTACCACCGATCATAGATAGCGTTAAGCTTTCAAATATCCACATTGTGCGACGATACACCTCTTACCAGCGTGAAGAAAATCGGCCGAACAAAAGAATTCTTCATGCTAATTTCGATGGTTTTTCTTTTCTTGTATATTTCGATTACAATTGTTGCTCCGAGCGCCACGATGTAATCGAAATCCCGATGTTACGTTGCCAGAAAAAAGGAAAAGAAAAAGATTTCTTTGTTTGTCCGGCAGAAATCGCGCCTGTCGGACGCGATCGGCATCGACCTGTACCTGAAGAAGGACTTCCTCCAAGCGACCGGAAGCTTCAAGGAGAGGGGCGCGAGGTACGCTCTGGTGATGCTGAAGGACGAGCAGAAGAGGATCGGCGTGATCTCGGCGTCGTTGGGTAACCACGCGCTTGCCCTCTCATATCACGGGAACAAGCTCGGTATACCGGTGACGGTGGTGATGCCGGTGCTTGCGCCGATCATGAAGATCGCCGCCTGTCGTCAATACGGCGCGAACGTGATCGTCGATGGCCTCGACATGGGAGAGGCAAAGCGTATCGCGCTCCGCCAAGCGAAGGAGAAAGGCCTGACGTATATAAATGGGTAGAGGCATATTCTATTTCACGATGAGATATAACACTTTGTTATTTGCCGGTTTCAGTCCGCGGACAGCCAGCCGAGCCGAGAAAGAAAATTTGACGCGTGCGTTATTGATGAACGTACGCGAAGCGTACCCTTTGCTGCGCTTTCTTTCCCCCTTTCAGC